GCTGAAGGATATGCTGTGTATCTAAATCCATGGTCTCCAGCCACCCCTGGAGCAATTCTCCAAGCAATTCTTCTGTGGTTTCCTCTGCCAGCTTCTTTCCTCATCTTCCCCCGAATCCAACTGAAGGCTTCTGTTCTCTCCTTAAAACTTTTACTCCGCCAACTGTCCCCGCTGCCAGCAGCAGGGTCTTCACCTTCTACTTCACTGAGAAAGCAGAAACCCCAGGAAGAACCCTTCCCACCAGCGCATCCGAAAACTCACCTTCCTCCTCATCTCTCCTTCCTATCTGGCTCCGTAGAATTCGTGTCCTTCTCTCTGTCAAGGCGGCTATCTTCATCCACCAGTCATGGATTCCATTTCCTGGAAACATACTCTTTTCTTTTCCTCTCCTCCCTCCTGTATGTTCAATGTCTCCCTCCTTACTCACTCCTTCTGCCTAGCAGTTAAATAGACTCAAGTCTCTTAAGTCTAAAACAGAAAACAGATGGATATGGAAACAGTGGTAGATATATAGTCACGCTCAGCTTTATATGCTAGTTAGCGTCACCTCACCTCCCCTTTAGAGCCAAATATCTATGCTTACCAGTTGCTCACCCCTGAAGTCAACTGCAGCCTCTGCTGCTCCGCCTAAACTGCCCTCAAGCTGATCACTCACAACTTCTTCGTCACTAATGTCACTATCATCTAGTCCTCTGTCACTCAGGCTCTCCCTAACATTTGACCCTGTTGGCCACACCCTCCTTCTAGAAGCGCTCCCTGCCCCCATTTCCCTGACTGGGCATGCTCTGGGCTCTGCTTCCACCTGTCTGCTGAGGCCACTTTCTTTTTCAGCCTCCTGTACCTCTGCCCATCTCTGCCCAGTTTCCCTCTAGCTTCTGCCCTAGGATTCCTTTCATCCTGACACACTCTCAAAAGCCTGAATCTCCATCCATATGCTGACAACTTTCACATTTTTTATCTCTATCCAGGACCTCCCTCCCCAAATGTCAGATTCCTACTTTGCCTAGCCCACCTTAAAGTCAACCTGCTAAAATTAGAGTCTTTCCTCCCGAAATCTGTTTTCTCTCTTATTCTCTGTGTCCAAAAATGGAATGTCCCTGTTGCCCTAACCAAACACCAGCCATGTTCCTCGACTCCTCCCTCTCCCATAACCCCCATAAATCAGTTCCATCCATTGTTTTCCATCCATCTGGCTACCAATATCTCAGAGTTCTATGAAAGCTTCCTAATTGGCCCCTTGGCCTCCAGTTTTGCTTCTCTAAGTTCATTCTCCACACGGGGGTTGCCAGAGTGGCAACTTCACTGCCTAAAGCCCTTTAGGGTATTGTGGGGAAGGCAGAGGGTCTAGGATCAAATCCATATTGCTTAACGTGGTTTTTTTTTTTAGGTCCTTTGCAATCCAGCTGCTGCGATCTCCCCTGATTCATTTTTCACCATCTATGGGAATGTGAAAACTTACAAAATAGCACTATTTATTAGCTGAGGGAAAATGGCACCCCCTTGTGTGTAGCTGGTGTATTAAATTAAGGATATGCAGATTATGATCTGCTGAATGCGGAAGCACAGGCCACCACATGGGGTCAGGAGGTAGCTCCGTCGTTTCCCCATCTGGGGAAGTAAGAACCCTGTAGTCGTTTTGATTGAAGGTGTAGTACACTCACACAAAGGAAGTAAAGTTTAAAGATTTATTACTTACAGACCCCAGAAACCAGCAGGGGGGAACGGGAAGCAGTGAGCCAGGAGAAGGGCAGTCCTCTGTCCCAGTTCACGTGTGAGCAGGATAGCAAGAACCTATTATGTGTAAGGTAGTTGGGGTGCAGGTCACTAACTTTACCCGGACTCAACTATAAGTGGCCATTTCAAAAGGCGCCCCAGGAAAAGCAAGTGAGAATTTGGGGCAGGAGTCCTAAACTCAGGTCCTTATCTAAATGTCCAGACTCTGGGTGTGAGCAGGGTCATTATACTGTAAAATGCCTGAGCGGCAACTCAAAATAGAGATTTTCTCATTATAGCTCAGAAAACGAGGGCATGGCATTCGCGTCAAAATTTATCAGGGCCAACTGAATTGTTCTTGGACCC